GGGCAGCACTCACATATCGGCCGCCTTCTGCACGGCCTCGCTCGTCGTCAATGCCGCATAGTCGAGCTTTTCCAGCTCCGTCTTTGCCAGGGCGCGCCCTTTGCCCACGGCGCAGGCGCGGTAGCCAAAGTGCGCGCCGCTCGGCTCGATGAGAAAGAGCTGCGGGCCGTCGGCGTCGACGCCGCCCAGGATCGTCGAGATGCCAAAGGGCCGCACGGACGAGTAGAGCGTGTAGGCTTGGATGTAGAGCGAGAGACGCTCGGCTAGTGCCTGCAGCACACAAGTGAAGGGGGGGGGGGGGGGGGGGGGGGGGGAGGAGGGAAGACGCCGTGGCGTGCGGCAAGAAAAAGGGGGGGGGGGGGGGGGGGGGGGGTGTCAGCGGAAGGGCACAAAGGAAGGGGCAAGAAGCACAAAGCAGATTGGCTTGGCTTGTGGGATGCAGAGTGCGTATGCCAGGGCAAGAAACCTCGGCGAGCTCGCGAGATGGAGAGGGACGTGCGAGGCTGTCCGAGAAGCGATGTTGCCCAGACCCATGCTCTTCCCTTACGCAGCGACGACGAAGCCAGCAATGGACGTAGCCCACGCCTGGGCCTGCTACTGGTTACCGAGGCTTTTGCACATCCCTGAAGCGGATGGCGCAATCCCTCGCTCGGGGGAAGCAGCACAGTACATCCGTTTCCCTTGTTGCCACTTCTCTCTTTCCCCCCACGCTCTCGGCCTTGTGCGCCCCCGCTCTCCCTCATCTCCCGCAACATCACAGCAGAGAAACAAGCACACTCACAGGCACGGGCGTCGGCATGCGGAACGTGTCGCGAAAGTTGAGGGCCTCGTCGCGCGCGCGGTTGGCGAGATGCTTGCCGTCGGCTGTCAGACCGGCGGTGGTCTGTGCGCAGAAAGAGAGAGAGAGGGGGGGTGGGGTGGGCAAGGGTCAGTTTCTACGTGGCCCGCGAGCTGGAAAAGAGACGCAGCTGCAAGAGTGAGAATGCGCAGCATGCCAAAGGGGGCCGCCTGGTGATGACAGTTGTGTGCCCATCGTCGAGCATCTCTCCCCCCGTGCTCAGCCACTGCGCAGCATTCTACTCCAATCCTCGATCCTCCCCTTCTCGCTTCCCATCGCGCCCAGCCACTGCGCAGCCTCGCCGCTCCAGTCCTCGATCTGCCCTTCTCTCTCTCTCTCTCTCTCTCTCTCTCTCCTCCGCGCGTCGCCACACACGCACCAGGCCCACATGCCGGTCCACGGCTGCGATTCTGCGGTTCAGGCTAGCGCCCTTTGCGCTGGGCACGAGGAGCTTTGTGGGCACGAGCTTCTCGACGGCGAGGAGGATGCCGTCTGTGCAGCGCATGCCCAGCGCCGTGCCTGCGCCGTCGACTGCCTTTGCTGCATACTCGATCTGGCGAAGAATGTCAGCCGAGGGTGCGCGCGCCACTCGTGCACGTTGCAGATCACACGCACCTGGAAGATGCGGCCGTCGGGCGAGTACGTCGAGGCGGACAGGTCGTAGCCGGTGCCCTGGGAGGCCATGGCGGGCGACGTGCGCTACAGGCGAGAGTGGCAGGTGCGTGAAGCGGAGAGAGCACTGGGTCGTGGCGGCGAGCGAAGCGGGTGCGTGTGATGCGGTGAGGAGCGGATGAGGGAGGTGAGGGCCGCACTGGAGGCGGCAGCGCTCTCCCGCCTACTTCTAGGCGCGCGCGCAGCCGCTCATCAGGCGGAGCACCTTCACGCACCCAGCCAGCCTCGCAGCGTGCCCGTGCGCGGCGGCGCCGATCACCTGCAGCGCTGTTCCCACGCTCGCGCTCCCAGGCGCGCGCGCGACGGGGCGCATCTGGGCCACGCTCGGCCAGCTCGGCGTGTGTGCTCGGACCAGGCGCACGCGAGGGGCGTGTGCATCTCTCTCCCGCTCTCGCTGCGCCCTCCCACTCCTCACACCGCTCGCCAGCCATGGCCGTGTCCAAGTACGCCTCGCTGCCCGACGTCGTACGTTGTTTGCCCCCTGTCTCTCTCTCTCTCTTGCCCCTCCTAACACCTTGCCTCTTCTCTGCCACGCAGGACACCTCCGGCCTCGAGGCATTCGAGACGCCCGACGTCGTCTCGCCCGGCGTGCGTCGCGTGCGCACCTACGACGACAGCGACGCCGATGACGACGACGACGACGACAGTGAGGCAGCAGAGGAGCGCACAAGGGCCGCAGCAGCACGTGGCCAGAGGGCGGGTGCAGAGGAGATTGATGGCGCCACGCTCGATGTGCGCGAGGCACAGAGACGCTTCGAGAGCAGTGCCGGCGTCGACGCGGCGCAAGCGGGTGAGTGTGCGTCTCTCGTCTGGCATACGAGAGCGCCTGAAAGGAGAGGCATGCGAGCCCAAGCAGCAAGGCTGTGCGCTGCGTCTGTGGGCAGAGCTTTGGCGCGCGCAGGCTTCGGCGAAGGGAGAGAGCGGGCTGCTCATTGCCTTGCGCCCCTACCCTTCCTCTCTCTAGACTTTTCCCAATCCATCGCGCCTCGTCGCAAGTCCAAGGCCAAGCCGCGCGGCGGCGCACGTTCTCCCTCTCCGCACACGTACGAATCGCGCGGCTTCGCCTCCTTTTCCCCTGCGGCTGCCTCTGCCTCTGCCTCTTCTTCTGCCGAATCGCGCGCCGCACGCCTGCGGCGCCTGCAGGCCGAGGCAGCCGAGCTGGCGGCAGACCTGGCAGAGACGCACGCACGCGAGGGAGGCAGTTATGAAGATGTCGTCGCGCCTCCCAACGGCGCGGCAGAGGCAAGCTCGACGACGGAGATGATGCGTCAAGTGCAGGCGCTGCGTCAGGCGTTGGGCGCCGCCTCTGTCTCTGCTGCTCAGGGCGAGCAGACGGAGCAGCAGTGGCATGCGAGGACCAGGCAACTTCTGAATGGCCTCGCTTCTTCTTCGGAAGCGAAAACACGCGCAACTAGGCCCGACGCGCCTACAACGACGCAGCACACGGCGGCCGACTCGACGGCACCCGAGCATGGCGCGCCACCGATGGCAGAGGGCAAGCTGGAGCGACGCATTGCGCAGATGGAAGAGACGGTTGGGGTGCGCGCCATGCTTGATTCCGTGAG